GTATAAAGTTTAATGTAATTTCAGGATCTTTGTGAACACTGTAAAAGGACATATTGTCCTGTTTTAGGGTGGAATGTGGGATGATCCTCACTTGGTGAGCTTTTTTTCTTTTCTTTTCTAATTTAAAACAATGCATGAGTTGACGCAGCATAACCACAGCTTTTAAAGTCATTTCTGACATGAATCACCCAACATTTGTTCCATCTACTGCCTGGAAAGGTTGAAAGGTGATACTGAAGAGCTTTGGAAACCCCAGCAAGCTATTATTCCAACAAAGCAAGAACTTGGACCTCAGCATGGTAACACCACCCAGCTTGGGTCAGAGTATACAATTTGAGCCTGTGATATTCTATCCAGTGGAGCAGTGATTGTCTTCTGTGCTACAAAAGAGAACATTTCTGTGGTATGTCAGGGGCTATTTGGGATGTTGCATGTAAAAGGCTGAATCGTCTAAAGAGACAAATGACTCTAGGAAGCTGTCAGCTGCACCTTGGACTGAAATGACTGAGTCAGTGAGGTGCATTGAGAATGATAATTAAATATGGGGCCAAAGATTGGCAAGGTGGCCCCTGTACCTTAGGGCCAGACGAGAGTGGGTTTCCGAGCTCACATTGCCCAGGGCCTATGTTAGAATCAGGCGCTAACCCAATTTCACACTGTGTGACTGGGCCTGGCCTGTTTCAATGCAGCAACTGAGTGTGAGTGCCATCTGGTCCAGGCCTGTGAAGGAAATGGCCTTGCTTTTCACACTGATCGGATTAGGGTGTTTTTAATTCATTCGAGATGTGCCCTTGCGTGTTAATTGGCTCAACATGGCCAATGAATCGCGCCTGTTGCTGCTACAGGATGTCCCCGTCTTTTAACTTACGTTAGAGGTTTGATTCTCCACAGAATTTATTTTCCCCACAAGTAAGAGGCAGGTTTTTAACAGTGTTTTTGAGAATATGTTTAATTTATAAAATATTATGCAATTTAGTTCTGTCTGAGCAATATAACAGTTCAGAGGTAAATGTGAAATATTATTTGTTAATTATGGAAACATGTTACAAAAAGTACTTGACCTTCTACAGTGTTGCCTTAAATTACATTTAACACAGTTTGCATTGAACTAAAGTAGATGCATTTTACAGTTTCAAGGTCAGAATCCCAAGAATGAACTCCTGACAGTCTTAAATAAGCTGCTTTGAGATCCTCTTCAGAAGAACCTGCACTAACCATCCACACAGCCTAACCATTGCCATTTGGTTCTAGTGTAAATATATTATACTAGAACTACAGACTACAGACTAAGCTGGACAGCTTAAAACAGATCAGTTCACAGATGTAATTTAGCTCAGTAGAATTTCTTGCTATTATCTATCACTGGCAGGTATTTCCTGGCTGGATGCTTCAACTCAGTGTGATGCCTTAAATTCATTGCCAAGGTGGCAAAATTTGCATAAGAATATGAAACTGTTTCCATCCGAGTCTGCTCAGATTTGCTCATCAAACAGTCGTTGATGAGCACAATGCTAGTAGTAATCCACTGTTCACTACTGACTAAAAAAAAGGGTCTTTCGGTGAATGAATGGATTTTTTATTATTATTTTTTATTTTAGTGTTCATGAAAAACACTTTATGCACATTTGTCAGAGCCTTTGTCATGAAGACACTATTTCAGGAATACACATGCAAATTCTGATGCATAATTAATTGATAGATATAATTTAAAAACAGTTTTCTCTTGCATTTATTCTCATTACTTACAGAGCATCTCAGAAACATTTCTGGGCTTGATTGGCTGATCACATTAGCAGCACAGAGCCACCTCTAATTAGGAAGAAGTTCACAGTTGAAACTTAACACGCACTAATTAGGTTGGAGCACTAACAATCTCGACAGCAAGTCTTAATATAATGCGTGGGCACCCTGATTTTCAGTGGCTTAAGTAATCTGACAAGATCACTCAAAATATAAATTAATTAAAAACTGGAAAGATATAAGAATTATAACTCAGATAATTTTAGAGCTACGGTCAGAAATGCCTTACTGACTGCTACATGTTGACCTAACACATGCGTGGCGACTCACAAGTGTTGCTTATCATTGTAGCGCCTTTGTTTCTGTTGGCTGAGAATTTAGCTTTCCCGAAACAGTAGAGCTTGTCTCTGTCTTCTTTGGGAATGTCCCAATTTCCCAGGCTTCCTGAAGTATCCCCGCCCAGCGAACAAGTTTCTGTACTGTGCCTTAAAAAAAAAAATCATATGTTGCAGAAATTGAAAAGGGAAGAGAAATTTATTTTTTATTTGTTGGTAGGTAAATAAGCTGCAATGCTGTGAATATTAACCGCCTAATCTAAATCTGGTTGTTTGTGTGATATAACAAATGGCAGCTCTTGTAGCCACGGCTCATATGCTGATACAGAATATTCACAAGTATTCTTAGTGGGCCTAGTCTTGCACAATGTGTTTGCTCTCAAGACTCATAAAAGCACAGGACTCAGTTGTACCGCCTGGAAACAAGTTAAAAGTTCAAACAGTTGAACTTTTGTTGAAAGTAGTCCAAGCTAACACGGGGAAAGGGAAAAAGCTGAAAATTAAATGGTTCAAAAGGTGCAAGAGATTAAAAAGGAGGATGGGAAACTGTATAAAGCTACAACTTTAACAGGATAAAAGACAATATAGTACAGATACTGGGTCAGAAAATATACTGTGTACTATGTGGCAAAATTAGGAAAAACATCAAGCAGCTTAAAAAAAAGCTGAAAACGTGACGAAATGCAGAAATGAGCATAAGATGTTGAAGAGGTTATTATTTGATAAGTTTATCTATTATAGAGAGCTATAATAATTAATTCATGAATAATGCTTACAACAAGGCAACCTCCTCTTTCTTTTCTCATCTTCCCTAAGCCCCTCCCACCAGATAATCACCCACAGACACTCCTGACTTTTATCTTTACACACATGGATTCATACTTAACTCTGAAGGCACATATGTTACTTTATGTGTAGACTTTTTTTTTCCTTTTTACTACTCACCTGATCTGGTCAGACAAGATGTGTGATTGGCCAAAGTCTGCGATCCAGGAGTGTCGTTCCCCTCCAGACCAATTACCATTCAAAACAAGAACGCACTATATAGAACAATATAATTTAAAACGCTGCTGTGCTGGCTAGCTACTCCACGAGACACTGGCTGAAAAACAAACTGTTGCATAGTTGACGTCGACAGGTTCGCATCCATTTTGCTCACATGAAAACGTTTCAGAGAAGGCGCCTGTTTTAGTCAGTAGAGAGTAAAATGACTCAATATTTGCAGAACTAAAATTAAATTCATAAGGAAAATGTATGTTGTATTAAGAATAAGGCTTTATTTCACAACATAGAACTGAGTGTTAAACCTATAGTGAAACTCTTTTAATGTGTCCACTTGTCTATAATGTTGTGTATATGAGCATCAGCATAATGGCAAAGCCTCAGATGTTGCACCTTTGTATCTTTGCCTACTGCCTTGTAAAACTATGCATAACAAAACTGCAGTGATATGTAGAAACATCTGATTAATGTCATAGGCCTGTTAACAGTATTTCAGTCACTTCATCCATCAACACCAGTGACAAACCATTCACTGATGCCTTTCACTGTAGTTTGTGCTAAACGCAGTGTTTTTATACATGTAATCAATGAAAACAGACACGGTCTTGAATAATCAGGCCACATGTTATCTTAATGACCTTCTAGTACCATATTACCCCATTAGAGCACTTCGCTCTCAGACTGCTGGCTTACTTGTGGTTCCTAGAGTATTTAAAAGTAGAATGAGAGGCAGAGCCTTCAGCTTTCAGGCCCCTCTTCTATGGAACCAGCTTGCAGTTGGGATTCGGCAGACAGACAGCATCTCTATTTTTAAGATTAGGCTTAAAACGTAACTATATGCTTTGTCAGAAAGGAAAGGCTGGATCAGGTGACCCTGAATCCTACCTCGGTTAAACTGCAATAGGTCTAGGCTGCTGGGGGATTCCCATGACACATTGAATGTTTCTTTATAAGCCACCCGCCCCTCCTTGAGCCTGGTTCTGCTGGAGGTTTCTTCCTGTTAAAAGGGAGTTTTCCCTTCCTACTGTCACTAAAGTGCTTGCTCATAGGGGTCCTCTGATTGTTGGCATTTTCTCTGAATACATACATTTTTTATTGTACTATTATTATGAGTTACTGTGATTTGGCACTATATAAATTGTGAATGAGTGGCTGAACAGAAATATTAATCGTTAACTCTTTTTGATGATGCTCATTACTGCAAATATGAATATGAGAATACATTTGAGGTTCTTTTGTTGCTGGTCAAGGTCTGTAAATTCAGTTCTATTTATATGGTGCCAAATCACAACAGCCGCTTAAAGCTGCATTGTAAGGTAAAGACCCTATGGTAATAGTACAATAATAAACAGAATACAACATGTAAAAAACAAAAGGCTTCTTCAGTAAATATATTGGGCAGTCCTTTGTTTCTGGTTTGATTCATTGAGTGTCTATTAGTTTGCTAAGAGCACAAATATGGTACAAAGGTCACAAAAAGAAAAATACTATGAAAGACTCTCCAGCTACTGCAGAATACTCCTGTCTCTCAGTATTGTATAAATTTTGCATTTAAAGTTCATTTCTCCTAATGTTTGGGATTTTTTTGTGGATTTATCCTTTAGGGTTAGATGGCACTTTTAAATCAGTAACATCCACCCACACGCACACACAGTTATTGAAATAACTGAAACTTTGGTCGTTTGGTGTAAAAGGGATCAAAAGGAGATGATTATGTTTTAATGAAATTCATACAAATATCTAATCCATATGGTCTCTTAAACAACAAAAAATCTGTATTTTAAGGGATGCATAAATCTTTTCAGTACACAAGAGAAAATGAAAATTGTTTGCAACCTTGTGCCGAGGTCTGCCGAACAGCAGTCCGCTGAAAGCAAAGCAATCAAATCCCACAACAATCAGAAAGGAGACCAAACGAGTGCGTTTTTATGCTCATACTTTTTTAATGTATCACAATGAGCAAGAAACATACTTGATGAAATATTTTCAAAGGAGTATATTCAATTACCATCTACAATCAACTTAACTAGGACAACAAGTTTTTGTGACAAAAGTTTCTTTAAAAGTCTGAAGTTCCATGTGGTTGTATGTATGTTAGTTTCCATGTAATTTGGTACAGTTTGGAAATCTTCATATAATTACAGTAACAAAAAAGCTAACAAGACTACAGTATAGAAAAGACATCAAGAACAACATTTTTGGTTTAACTTGCTCTTTTTTGTACATTGCAAGGCTGTTTTTTTCTACCCTCAGATGGGCTGCCTGGAGCCACAGAGCCATGCTTATGAGGCTCGAAGGAGGAGTAATTCAAGGAAACAAAAAGAAAAAAACAAACAAAAAATAAAAAAAAATAAAAGGATAAAAAAACATTGTGGCACCAGAAGTCACAAAAGGAACAGAGAGCTCCAAGTAACAGTTCATCTTTGAAGTTGGAGCAAATGGTTGTTTGGTTGTTAGTTTGGTTGTTAATTTTGGTTAATATGCTTTTTTTTTTTTTTTCTTTTTCTTAGTGTAACTGCCTCTTTAAGAATGACAGCTTTGAGAACCCATCCCCTCTCTGTGTTGTTAATTTCTCTGTTTAGATAATGTAACCAACAGAGAGAGGGGTGAGCCGCCATTTGACTGGAGAGCTTTACTTGTCAACTGCAGACAAGCACGAGGAAATGAAACGGGTAGCAACATGAACTGGAAGATATGAAGCAAGCATCTCTGTCCATCCTGTCCTGAAATTTGGAAAATGTCCATCAAAGAGCAGAAGCGGAGGCAGAGCTGGAGAAATAAAGGACAGACAGAAAGGAGAAAGAGGCAGCTGGAGCCACTTAAGTTCAGTTTCCTCTAAAGACTTTCCTCTGTGTATGACACACGTCCATTGGTTCCAGAGTCCATTCGCATTACAGAGTTGTCAGTAATCAAATAAGGAGGTGGTTTTTAAAGCTGTTTTGAGCCTGGCTTTGGCTCCCATGCCCAGTTTTGTGTGCCCAGAGCCTCTCTTGTCCTCCTAACAAGATCTCCAAAGCTTCCCAGAGTCCTTTATCATTTCTTTTTATTCCTTCTTCATCTCAAAAAACAAACAAACAAATAAAAGGAAACAAACAGTTGATGTCTTGGTTTTAAATATATCTATATCTGTATACAGGTACACTTTCGTTTTCACAGTGGGCAAAAGATGACCTCTACAGCAAGACCTTGTCTTTATCCCTCTCTTGTAATTGTCCATTAAAATCAAGTATCCCAAATGTAAGGAGGTGGATCCCTGTATCCACAATAGCATTGTGTGCCGCAATAAAATATACACTTATCCGGGGCACGTTTTTTTTTTCCTTTGTGTTTCAACTGCATAAAGCTTTGGCCACATTCATATATTCAATCAAAGTAAAAACTGCTCAGTGCTTCGGTATCATCGTTCTCATTTCCAATCGTTATCTTTTAAATTTGATTTTCTGAATTTCAGTTATTCACAATCCAGCTTCGTGGTTCAGCTTGTTTTGGTGAGTAACATATAACCAAAAAATAATAATAATTAAAGGCAAAGAAGAAAAAAAAATTGAATTGATGCTGGCTCTTATGACACGCACGCACATACACGCGCACAAACGTACAACGCACACTTACATAAACACACAAACCCATACAGAGTACATGCTGGCTGAATCTAATGTGAAGACCTCAACTGTGTCTTCCACAAAAGAGCCCAAGAGATTACACTTTGGAAAAAAAAAAAAGCAAAAAGTATCATTGAGACAATGAATATAAAGTGGCCAGGTCATAATTTTCGTTTTTGTCTCTCAATTTCAGCAATTCAATTTAAAGCTAGTGTTAATTTATGATAAAAAGTAATACACGGAAAATAAAATAAAATACTTCTAAGAAAATAATACATGTCTGACATTATCTAAAAAATAAAATAAAGCAAACATATTTTGAGGAAAAACTGTACAACTTAAGGATTGGGGGTTTTTTTCAACACAAGAAAGCACAAGTGAACAGTATTTCAGGGAACTGGACTTGAGACGTAGCAAGCTTGCAGACCAGATCTACTGACTTTCAACAGCATGCTGTAGTATTAACACCAAATACCATTTCTCTACAAGATGTAGCATTTTTAAACACCTTTGAGATTGTGCCTTTTTAGTCATTAGGGCAAAATATATTGACTATACAATAGTGGCCAAAAAAGTAGTTCTCCACAAATTTAAATATGTCTTGGTTTTGGTTTAAAAAAAAAAAAAGACAAATTAAAATGATGATATCATAAGGGAGAAGGGCGTGGTACCTATGCACATCCATTTCCATTGCAACAAAACGAAGTAAGTGACTTCTTTGGACATGAAAGCATCCTAACAATTTGAAAACAAGAGACATCTTCAAAAATAACCTCCTACTTTTTCCAGACATAATGCTTTGGAATGAAGATGTCTCTACCTGTAATCTATGTGTGGAAGTGGCACCCTGCAGACACATGCAACAAGTGACTGAGCGACAGCACCTCAGCAAAACGGCCGTTATTCCCCTCTGAGACTAGTTGTAGGTCGACTGGTATAAATGTTACTAAACCTATGAGACGCATCAGTACCAGATGTATTATATACATTTTTTGGTAACCACTATTACTTGCTTAACAAGTGAGCAACAACCTTGACTGGATGGAGGGATTTTCAGCAACGTTCCATGCCAGCACAAAATGACATATGGGGGTCGCTTTCTTCAGCAACCAATGATGCAAAAAATGTACACAACAGTTTACAGTCACTTCAAAAATGAGGAAAAAATAGATTGTGACAATTAAAAGCAATCAAATGAAACAGGATCAGTCCTTGCTTAAGAAAAATCCATTGTGATATTTGGAATGCACTGTTCTTTACAAACGTTATAGATCATTGGCTTTAAACATTGGTCTATTCAAAAAAAAAGAAAATCGGCAAAATGTCCTTTGGAACATATATTCACAGTCTTCAAAGTTCCGTTTTTGCAACAAGAAAAAAAAAAAAGGTGTTGCAGAGGCAAGAAATTGGTTTATTGTTTGTTTTAAAGCTTAGCCAAAAGCAAAATGAGCATGCATCTAGGTACTCTTTTTTTTTTTTCCTCAAAATTCTACATTAGCAGCAAAACGTATGTCCTTGAAGACCAGACCTTATACATTTTCTTAAAAAAATTGACATTTGAATGTGACAAAAGTCAAACAAAGATTAATAACCTCTATCTTACAAACTGCAATGGCTCTGTAACGGTGCTACTCCACAATGCAAGGACAAGGGCCCTTTTTGGTTTTTGGTATTTACGTAAAAAAGCCACCTGTTTGCTTGCAAAGAAGCAAAATCGGCAACTCTGATGCGTACTCCTTTATCTTTTAAAACTTTGTTTCTTTCCTCTAAAAACAGCAACAAATTCTCAAGTATAAAGAACCCTCTTTTCTCATCTTTATGCACCAATGGTGAAAGTGTTTAGTCTTTGGATTTTCTTTTTGTCTTAAAGCGTGAGAATTATTATTAGTATTCTTTTTTCATTTTCACTTATGACAAAAAAAAAGGGAAAAAAAAAAAAAAAAAAAGACCGTAGCCACACTACATGAAGAACAAAAGACCTGCTTTGTATACATATCTACAAACACAGGAGAGCGAGAGAGAAAAATAAGTGCCGAGAGAGGAAAACGAAGAGTGAAAAATAGGAGTCAGACAGTGATAAGTGCACAAAGGTAACACAAAAATTAAATTAAATAAAACTTTCAATATTTCACCCATTATCTTTTTCATTTTGGTTAGAGCAATACCAACCAAATCATAAAATTTAAATAATGCTAAAAGAGGATCCTGCCTTGTCAGGAGGGGCATTTGGGTTCATGTTTCCCAAGAAGTTAAGAATAAGACAGAAATAAAGTTTCGATAAATTACCTGTCCATAATCTAGACTATCGGAATGACCAAGACAACATCAAATGAAGTGTCATAAAATTGGACAATACAAAAGCTAAATGTACATAAAGGTTTTTTTTTCCTCCAACCTACCATACTGTTTAAATTCGTTTCCAATGCAACATTCTACTTAACACCAAAAATGCTTGTATCTATCATAAATACAGAAGGCTGATTCTTTTTTTTCTTTTTTCTTTTTTAATTAAAACTATTCATCGCCCGTTATCACGTCTGCAATGCTTTCCTTGTATGGGATCATCGGGACTGTAACTTCCCCACTTTGAAAGGATTTCTGATATTGAAATCAGCAAATCGTTTGACCCTATTTGAATGCCCAGAAACAATGCCTTATCAAAATTTAATTCAACCTAAACTTTCTATTAGTAAATCAAGTTCAGAAAGAAAACAATAATAATGCTCATCTCCTGTTGGAAACACAAGGTGAAAACATGAATTTCTGTAACAGAAAAACATCTGTGAGCTGTTGACCTGAGAATAAAATAGACATTACATTATTCTTTCACTTTTGCAAGCCATTGGTATCTGAATGCTTAAATAGCAAGAAAACTGATAGACTATTCTCCCATACAGTACATACTGGCTTTTTGTGGCTGTGCTATTAAGTAGAAATTATTACAAAACAAAGGGACAGCTCGTTGACTTGCATTTCTTCAAAAGGGTTCTTGGGCCATCTGTCAACTTTGAGGCAGTCCATTGCCATACAGTACAGCATTCCTCCACCATTACCCAAAACGTAACTGCAGCGATCTTTTTCTGTTCTCACATATTAGTATGCCTGTACACAGATTAGCCACGACATTAAAAACACTGACAGCTGATTTAAAAAAAAGAAATTGTTCACCTCGTTACAGTGTGATGCTGGGAAACCTTGGCATTCATGCGGATGGTATTTTGACCAACCGCACAGCAGGATTAAGGAACACGACAAAGAACCTAAGGCGTTAACCTGGCCTTCAACCTCCCCCGACCTCAACGCAATCCCAGTCTGCAGCCGACATCCCACTACCAGAAACCACGGGACACACCGAAGGGTCAAGTGTCCGTGCCCTGATGGGTCATAAACTATTTTGCTGGCACAATGGGGCATACACAATTTAATGCAGGTGGTTTTAATGTTGTGGCTGATCGGTGCGTTTCGGTTGAGTTAAAACAAAAACAAAAGAAAAACAAAGAAATACAAAAATGAAAACCAGCATGTTGATATGGGAAAACAATCCACTAACATTTAAATTTTTGGTTACAAGCTTTGGAATTGCAGTTAGTCTTTACACATCTTTTTCTGAAATTGGTTTGTATACTTTTAATGTATTTTTAACATTGCTGCTTTTTATGGGTTTTTTTAATTTTTGGATTTTTTTTTTTTTGTCTTTTAGGGAGTTTTTTTTAAATATCGTCCATCACTGAAAGCTCTTTTACAATCTGATGGAGTCTGTTCCTACACTAGCAAGATTACTACTACAACTATTACTGTCTTTGACAAAGCCAGGCTGCTGCGGCTCCTCCGCCGTCCTGCCCAGCCTGTTTGCTGACTTCTGACTGCTGTCAGAGTCAGACTCGTCGGTAAAGACGTCTGTTGGTATCGAGGTCTGAACTCCTGAGGTGCTCAATGAACTTGAGGTAACCGTTGAAGGTGAGGACACTGGAGGAAAAGAGGAGGAAGAAGAGGAGGGACTAGCATTGGGCTTCCCAGCTAAAGCTCTGGGGAAAGGGGCCTGGGGCCAGGGTTTTCCGGCAGCTGTGGTGTTGAGTTGGGTAGTAGAGGAGGAGCACAAAGATGAGGAGACAGCAGAAGATGGCATGGTGGCTGATGTTGTTGGCGGGGGAGGAGGGCTGCTGATGGGATGAGTGGCAGACTGCGAGGTAGATGCGGTGTTAGGATTGGGGAAGCAGGCTGAAGAGTGAGGTAATAAACTAGTAGCGTGCTCTTTGGCATTTCTGACCGATCTCTTGATTGTTCTGTGTTTGTGCAATGCCGATTCCAGGTGTTGACTGAGTGCTTTCTCCCCATCCAACGTAGTGTCACAAGCCAGGCAGTCATAGAGACTTCCAGCCCCTACACCTACGCCACCGGGGACACGCAGCAACATCTCTTGCAGGTTTGCCACAGACTGACCGAAAAAGCAGTTCGATTTAAGGTGGGTAATAGCCGCTTCTTCCTTGGTGAAAACAGCTTGACACTTGCGGCATGCCAGTTTATACTGCACCTTGGGGACGATATACTGGTCTAGATGGGTGTCCACAGGTTTGCCATCCATCTCATTCTGCTCGGAGGGTACTGTAGTATGAGAAGAGGAGGAGGAGGACGAGGAGGAAGAGGACGAGGAGGAAGTGGGAGGTTCACTTTGTGGATTGCCCTTTTGCTCCTCTGATTTCGCTGGATCTTTGGCAGAATCTTTGCGATCCCCCAAGGTTTGAGGGGGAACTGAAGTTTGGCTCGCCTTGGGTTGCTGGATCTGCTGAAGCTGCCGCTGCTGCTGCTGTAGTGCCTCCTGCAAGCTCTGCTGATATTGCTGGTAATGCTGCAGTAGGGACCCTGGAGACAGGCCCATCAGTGCTTGTGACAATGCTGGGTTGTAAGGGAAGAGACTTTCCATACCATACATTGGTTGCAGGTAGCCCCCTTGTAGAGCCCCAGGAATCTGAGGGGTATAATATGGGGAAAAGCCAGGCATGAAGTAGGGTAGAAACTGGTTTGTGAGGAGAGCTGTGGGATCTGATGCCAAAGCAGCCTGGAGGGCCTGAAGCTGGGCAGGATCTACCACATACTCCATTCCAGGTGTGGGCATAGAAGTGGCAGGAACAGCTGTTTCAGGTTTCTCCTTTTTGGCGCTGGCAGCAGAAGTGGAAGGGGCGGGGGTGCTTCCAGTTGATGATGGAGTTGAGGGCTTCTCTGTCTTTTCCTTGGCCTTCTCCTTCTCTTTTACTCTCTCAGCATCTCGTTCTTTGGGGGGTTCAGGTCGCGACTGACTGGTTGAGGACGTGGAATTGGAGGTGGAGTTTGAGTGGGAAGTAGACGTGTTGGTCTGGGCTGGGCTGGATGCGGTGAGAGACGATGAGGAGGGAGGCTTGTTGGGCAATCCAGACGTGGGGAGGCTAGGTGAGGGAACACTGGCACCAGGCATGTTCAGGAGGTTTGAAGGTTTTGGAGGAGTTAAAGCTGCAAATGTGTCAAATACAGACAAGAAAATAAGACTTAATAGGTTTTCATTTCATGGTAGTGCAGTGCCTTTTTAAAAGATTATTCAGCTGTAACAAAACTAATTAATTAAACAATACTGAAAGGTGATACAAAAGAGGCAAACGATTATTTTTATGTGAATCATAAAAAGCTTTGTGAAATGACTACAAATATCACAAAATCAAAGCCTTGTACTTTGTGGTATTTTCTGGTCTAAAGCTTAAGTGTTAGCATTTGAGACAGGTTGGGTACATAATAGCACAACAATAGCAACAATGGCAAAGGTCATTAAATTATGTCAGATATATTTGCATCAGTGTTAATGAATATATGTGGCAGATGGATTCATAGTTAGATTTGATGCCTGGAAATACACAGTACTTCCTGTAGCAATGGATGATCATTTATTAAACTAGTTTAGTTGAGAAAACCCATCTGCAACTCTAAACCTGAAATGTTAGTAGTGAAAAAATGCCAAATAGTGACGTACCTGAATTAGATGAGTTAAAGCTGGGAAGAGAGGGGCTGCCAACCCCTGGTAAAAGGACAGGTGGGATACCTTGCAGGTTTGGATAGGCCGACTGGAGATTTAAAGCCTGCATTGCAGGGTTATCAAACATCCCCTGCTGCTGCATGGCCTGTTGCTGCGCCAATCCTAAAACTTCATTGGCCTTCTTAATGCGGTCCATTTCTTGCTGGGCCATAAGTTGGCGGACAGTAGCTGGGTCAAAGTACTCTTTCTCTTTATCGATCTGGCTGCCAATAGTATCCTTCACCTTAGAGATGTGTTGCTGGGAGAAAATGTGATCGCGAACAGAAAGGCGAGCGCTATATTTAACACCACACAAAGTGCACTCAGTCTTCGGCCCCTCGTAAGACGTCTGATTTATTCCGAAGTGCTTGGCCATATTGAGCTTTGCCTTTTTCTCCTTCGCGCGAGCATTTTGAAACCACACCTGAACCACTCTCTTTGGAAGTCCAATATCATTGCCAAGTACCTCGCATTCCAGCATGGTAGGTGTCCTGTAGTCGTTAAAACAGGATTTTAACACTTTCAGCTGGAGGTTAGTCATCTGGGTTCGGAAGCGCTTTTGGCCAGGTCTATCTCCACCTTCAAGGCTCCTGCTACCAGAGGCTCCAGGACTTGGTGAGCAGGGGTCAGCCAGACTGGACGTCTCACTGTGGTCAATCATATTTTCATTTTCATAGTCCTTAGCATAATAGCTTGTTGCAGGGCTCACTAGTCCCGAGGACATCTGGTCATCATTTTCAAGGATGGGAGCTGTGCCCCCAGACTTAGACAGGTAATCGCCACTATTTTGGCTGTGCTTTGCATCAGCACTGTCATTATCAGCATTAGCCTCATCACCTGTGGTTGTGTCTGTAATGGCTGTATTCACAGAAGAGCAGTCATCATTATCGAGTTTGCTCTGATCAAAGTTCAGGTTCATAGAGGACATTGTGGCACTCTCAAAGTCTTCCATTCCTTCAACTTTGATGGACGAAGGGCTCAGTAGACCCCTTGGAGACAAGTCCAAGCCTTTGTTCATGGGTGACATGGAGGAGCTTTGTCCATCACTGTTTGTAGTAGGGGGTAGCTGGGAGTAACCTGATGTATCAAGAGCATCCATTTTTATTTGCATGTTCTCCTGCTCAGGTAACATACCGCTGAGAGTTAAATTATATCCAGCACGTTTGGCTTCATGCCAGTGACGAGAGCGAATGTGTGCTTCAAGGGCAGTCTTTGCTTTAAAAAGAGCTCGACAAAAAGGACACCTACGATGAGCTTGGGCTGGCCCAACAGCTCTAAACTGGCCTTTTCTCTCTCTGGCTCTGGTATTCTGGAACCACACTTGCACAACTCTCTTTTTCAAACCCACCTCAACAGCAATGTGGTCAAGCATTTTACGCGTAGGATTAGAATCTAATAAATACTTCTGATATAAGATCTCTAGCTGTTCAGGCGTGATGGTGGTTCTAAGCCTCTTGTCTCGCTGTGGCTCTTCTCCACTATTTGTGCTATCGTTTTCTCCTGGACTAGTGCTAGCTTTCTCCTCTAACTTCCTTTTCAGGGAGTTCATAGTGGAGGTTGGGGTGGACGGAGAGGTGGCAGAGCTGCTTGGAATTTGTGGCATCCCAGAGATTAGCTGGGTTGCCAGGAGAGGATTGCTAGGATCAAAAAGCATGAAAGACATGTCAATTGGACGGTCGAGGAACTGCGGGTGGATGAATTGATTTTGCACAGAAAGGAAGTGTAATTGCTGGTGTTCCTGCCAGTGCTCAAAGGAGGGGAAGCCAATTTTGCACTGCTCACACTGGTATGGGATCATCTGCTGTGCCAGTTGTTGTGTGGCAGAGGTCAAGTGTGGATTGAGGCCCATGTGAGAGCTTTGTGATGAAGGCTGGCTTGTCTGTGAGGCTGACAGACCACTCTGCTGTTGCTGCTGAGAAAAGGAAGGAGTTGAATGCTTGGAGGGCTTAGAAACATTTTGGATCTTGTCTTCTCTCTGTGGTCTCTGGTGTTGTACCTCAGATTGAGGTTGGTGCACAATTTCCTGCTTAATGGAGGTTTGGTTTTCTCGCGGATCAGCGGTTATTTCTGGTAACTGCTTGGGCTTCTCATCATAGAGGTTTGAGGTGGTTGCTGGTGATGCCTCCTCTTTCTCGGTGGAAGGGAGGTGTGAGAATGCTGAAGTCGTGGGTGGAAGTGGGCAGAGACTCGAAGAGGAGGGCATTGGGGTGTGACAGGAAGACCCAGAGGGAGTGTAACATTCATGGGAAAAATCCATTGAATCCTCATTTTGGCTGTCATACTGTCCATCCTCATCTTCATCTTTGTAACACAGCTTCTTTTGGTGTTTTATTAGATCAAATATACGCTGGAAAACGAGACTACATTTCTTGCACTGGTAGTTCAGGTTAGATGTGCGAATGTATCGGTCGTTTGACAGTTCTCTTCTTTCACCATCTTTCCCTCCATCACCTTGATTTTCATAATTCTTCCTTGCTTTCTGACGTGCATTTTGGAACCACACAACAATAACACGGGTGGGGAGGCTCAAAAGGTTTGAGAGCTGTTCAAATTCATCATCTTTAGGATAAGCATTGGCATCAAAGAAATCTTGCAGAACTCTTAGCTGGTAGTCAGTAAACCTAGTCCTGGATGATCTCTTGCTTCCATAGTATTCGTGTTTCTGAGGTTCAGGAGAAGGAGGTTTGGAATCAATTTTAGTGTCTTCCAGAGTTGTTGTTGGTGGATTGTTGAAATTGTAAGGCGAGTCTTTATTGCGCTGCCTTTCTTTGAAAAGGGTGTTTCTGAACCAGTGCTTTATCACTTTTTGTGGAAGCCCTGACTTGTCTGCCATCTCTTTGATCTGGTCCTCATTTGGTGAATTGTTGATATCAAAGTACTGTCGTAGGACCCTAAGCTGGTCGTCGGTGATGCGTGTCCGTGGTCTCTTGTTCTGCTGCAGCATGGCTGGTGTCAGTTGCTGTTGGTAGAGTTGGGCCAGGTCTGAGGCCAGGCTTGGCTCAACAGACGGCAACTGGGGAGGCAACTGAGTAGGCAGGGACTGAAGAGACATGGGCTGCATCATAAGTGGGGAGAAGAGCGGCAAATCCATTGGCATGGGTATTTGTGTCATTGGAACTGGTGCCTGTGGAGGTGGCACGGTTGGAGGTGTGAGTGAGGCATTAGACACAGGTATATTTGGGGTGGGAGCTCTTTGGGGTGGAGGAGGAGGTGGGGGTGGAGGAGGGGGAGGTGGTGGAGCTGGAGCAGCCTCTGGTGTAGGCGGTCTCAGTGGGTAGAGCTTATCATAATGTTCTCTGTATTCCTTGGCAAACCTCTCAAGGGATCGGAATGGAAAGAAAGCCTGGTGGATATGCTCCTGGTGACTCTTCAGAATCAGTATGTTTGAAAACAGCTTGCCACAGGCTTCACATTCCAGCTTCTCCAATCCCCCAATGGGATCTATGACTCTTGTTATTCCACCTGGACCACTTGATCCAGTAGGTCCAGCTGTCTTTTTCTGAGCTTTCTGTTTATTTTCATTGTACTGAATTACTAACTCAAACCCAAAATTTTCCAGCAGGGCTTTAGTTGCATTTCCTCGAGCATCTGAAGCAATCCTTGGTGGAGGCAAGCCAGTATCATGGTTTATGTTTATTGAAATATGCTGACTCTCCCTTTCTTTTGGCCTGCTGTCTGCAGAATCCTTATTTACATAGTCCTCATTTTTTTCGCTTGCATGCCTCTCCCTTTGTATTTCTCTGTCCTTGTCATTCTGAGAGGAGGGAGGTTTCTGCTTTAATTCAGCTTGTTGGAGGAGTGATGCACTCTGTTGCAGCAACGCCATTTGGCTCTGAACCTGCAAGTGTGATTGTTGTTGCTGCTGCTGCTGTTGCTGCTGCTGTTGTTGCTGTTGTTGCTGCTGCTGTTGCTGCTGAAGGTGGTGGTGCATCAATTGCTGCTGCAAGCAACTCTGTTGGGCTGAGTTTTTAAGATCTTCAAGCAAAGAGCTGGGGGATCCAGCTAAGCCAAGTGCTGAGCTGCTGATGCTGATCTCAGGATTTAGCTGAAATTCTGCTCCAGGGATGTAGAAAGGAAACAGCAACTGCTGCTGCTGCAGAGGCAGAAGTGCATCAGTTGTCATTGGGAAGTGCTGCAGAAGTGCTGGGTTGAACAGCTGCGACTGTAGAAGAGCAGCTTGCTGCTGGAGCTCTTGTTGAAGCTGTGCTTGAGCTTGGGCTTGAGCCTGAGCCAATTGCTGTTGCTGCTGAAGCTGTTGCTGTTGCTGTTGCCCCCTTGCAGAGAGAATGTCTGAAAATTTGGACTTTTTCACTTCGTGGTTCTCAGATGGTGAGGAGTGGCAGCTCACCGAGGAATTCCCCTGGTTTTCAGTGTTGTGAGTCTGGCTTGTGTGGTTTCCTCCTAGAATATTCTGGGCTGCCTGACTCCCAGAAGAGCTGTGGTTGGTGGAGCTAGTGTTTGAGTTGCTGGCTGGGCTTGGACTTGATGTTGATGTGCTCATGCCGGATCCTCCACTGCTTAAACCAGTTGCGCTTGCAGAGCTAGTGATTCCCCCTGCTGCCTCAAGTTTGGCTGCCCTAGCTTTGGTCTGGTGTAGAACAGAGCGCATGTGGATTTCCAAAGTTGAACTCTGGCTATATGCCACATTACAAGTGCTGCACTTGAATGGCTTGTTGTCAGGGCTGCTGGTAGGCTCAGGTTGACCAGTAGTAGACTCCTGAAGAGCCCTCTTCACCTTGTGTAGGTGGGAGACAGAGTTGTAATGAACCAGAAGGATGTTCTTCTGTGTAAAAGACTCTTTGCATACAGTGCATTTAAAAGGACGAGATGGATCCAGGAATTTCTCCATCGTAAAGTTTGGGCCCTTTCTGAATGGCAATGCACGTTTAGGTTCAGATCCAGAATCTTCCTGCAGTGAGCCAGAGTCACTGCCTGTCGGGCTTTGTTTTTCCTCTGGATCACTTTCATCTCCATCTTTGTCATCCTCTCCCAGACTTCCATGTTCTTCACCAAGGCTTGGATCACCCATTGCCATAATGTCACCATTCATCAATAATCCCCCATACAGCTGCTGGATGTCAGCTTCACTCAGTTCCAGGTGGCTGGTTTCTAAATGCTTCTTCAGCGCCTGTAGTGTTCTGAAGCTTCGCTGGCAAAGACAGCACATGGTGGCTGCCCTGATCACATGATATTGTGAATGGAGTTGTAATTTCTCCACAGTCTTGAAGGCCAGACTACACTGGTTGCAGCGGTACTTGTAGACATGCCGATCTGAAACAGGCAACTGGTGCCTTTTGTTGTGAACCTCATTGAAGTGCATTTGTAGGGAGTTAGAGGTCTTGAACAATTGATTACAGCCTTTCTTCCAGCACAGGAATCCTGTGGCATCCTCCCGTTCTGATTGTTGATCTTCCAGAGGTGACTTGCGAGCTTCAGCTATTTCAGTAGGGAGTGACACCCCTTTTTCTGGATCAGCATCTGATGCATCTGTGAATAAAGAAGTCAAGAGAAGATAGCCATTCATCAGATTCTACATTTGCTGAGTGGAATTTTTCCAGTAATATCAATAAAGGACATTCAGTGTGTTAGTGGCATGGAAAGGTGCCAAAAAAACAAACAAGCCAAGCACTGACTAATTACAAAATCTGCAAACACCAACAATCTTTCATAATGTGTTGGTGTGAATGCAGGCCAAAATTGTGAAATGCTTCAGTAATAACAATTTTTTCCCAGCCTATGCAATAAATACTGACTTTTCCAAAGTGTAAATACACAGGTATAAGGTTGTAGAATGTAGCTGAATCTCATTAATATACACCAAGTGCATTAACATGCTCACTACAGAACACATAGCTTTTAACAAACAGATACTAACCAGCTTGCTTCTTTGTATCTTCAGCGTTAGAGTTGGATGTAGCATGAGGGGTGCTCTGCGGCTCTCTGTCTGGACTCGGCACAGGTATGAACATGCTTGCTGGTAGTGCTTCAGTTGTTGTCACCTGGAAAAGCAATTGTAAAGGAATGAGCAAACAGGTGAGGTAATGTCATCTCTTAGTTTAAACGACTACATGAAAGAATACTGACACAAACAAGAGGATACACAAAGACGTTACTTAGCTACTTCCATACATACATATACACATATACATTCTCCAGTCCCCCACATATATCCATGACAGAAGAAAGGCTACTTTTGTGTGATCCCTCAAGAAATGAGATAGATTTCTTGAGTACTAGTGTTTTTGTTTGCTAATTACTTAACAAAACACAGTACGTACTAATAAAGTAGAAAGATGAACCTAGCTTCCCCCTGGTCTCAGATGATTATGGTCAATCGTGAGTAACTGATTGCACAACATCTGTTTATTCTTGCTGCTCTCCCCTAACTTAGCTCATATTTCGCCCTCTGATTGCCTCTCTTCACCCCCAAACCTGACACTTCATTCAACATTCTCATTAAACAGGTCACCAGTGAGCAATATTCCATAGAGTTTAATTTAGTAATAAGACTCTACCTTTGTTAGCCTTTTTTCAATTAACTTTACAAGCAGAGTAATAATCTTCAGTCTACGAGTTGCATTTCAGTTTACATCACCTCTCCCATTTTTCCTTCTGCGTTGCCTCTATATTAAGACTTTTGATTGGTAGTTCTTTCAAGTAATACCAATTAAAGGTGCCTTGCATAAGGGACACGAAAGAGGAAAGGGATCTTGCATATTGCTGGGCCCCAAGTATAAATGTTGGTCTATACACAGAACATATTCTGTATGCTTTCTAATTACTCCTCTAATAACAGTTTGAACACAACTGAAAGTACCGTAGCATGTCATATAACCTCTGGGTGAGATCGAAATAGAGCAGAATCTGCCCTGAAGCAACAGGATTTTTGAGGTCTGGTGTAATCCTTTATATCCCAAAGTCAAACACTATATGACAACTGTGGTCACACATTTACCAGAAGACATCCACACATTCCCGTCTTTGTTTGTGTTACCTCTTTATTTCTTAAAAATGAAACATAGAAAATTAGTGCAACCAGCATAGAAACGCTTAAAAAAATTTACATTACAAATTTGACTGTTTCTAGACAACTGCTTCATTAGGCGATTAGAGGCAGGAGCAGAGTATCCCAAGGTCACTTTTAATTTGGACAGCCTAATTGCCAAACATAGTTCAAAATGGCTATCATCCAGTCAGACTCCAAATTAATGAAGCACAATTATTTTCATTACCCCTATCTTCCACAGACAGAAAATGAGACATAAAATCAGAGAGGGAGGATTGGAGGAGTATGTATATATTATACATATGGTTTTCTATCTATCATCTCTTTACATCTATCCATCCATCCATTCATCCATCCATCCATCCACTGAATGTCAGGGAAAAGCATTACAGACGTGCAAAAGAAAGGAAATTAACTGAAAGGAAAGGAAAGACGATAAGTGGACGAATGGATGAAGGTTGTTAGAGTGAATGCATCATTATGCATGCTTGGCAAGAAATAAAAGTCACCTATTTCAAAATTAATCAGGCTCCTCTCAGTAGACATGTGAAAAAGATAAAGTACCTTTCTATCTGCATTCACTAGTTATAAAAAGGTGCTGGCTTTAATGTGTGTTATATTACCTCTGTTCTATCTCTTCTTGTAGTGGTTCAGTACATTACTACCTCTATAAAAGAAATAAATACTGCCGTCTACCATACTAATGTGCTTGCCATTTACTTTCTGGATGGGAGATGAAGATGGTTAGGCAGCAGACAGAGCAATGTTTTATTCGCTGATTGTCCAGCAAGCTATTTAGCTTCACAAGATAGAAGAGAAAAAAGGTTTGCTCAGTGATTTACATAAAAACGGGGATAATAAAATTTTATTTCTCCTTGATGAGCATTAAAAGATGCGAGGACATTTTTTTGCATAGGTACAAAAGTAAGTACCAGTGCACTGCGGCAGGTAAAGATTTCAGGGCTCGTGGTACAAACCAGCCAAATCTTTCCCTGATAATACTGAGAGTGCACACTTGCGTTTAAAAAAACAAAACAAAACAAAAACAAAAAAAAAGAACTCCATAAGCTGTAATTTAGTCAGATTAGTGGTGAATAACAACATTTCAGTTGGTTTTATTAAAATTTCATGAAGTGGTTTGACTGTTCATTATATTTTGATTAAGCAGTGTCACATTTGTTTCACCACAAATTGTAAAAGGCCTTGTTTTGACTGGCATGCAGGTGATCATAGACATGGCAATAATGTCAGTGAACTAATAAATGAACTGGGAGCTAAGAGACCCGCTCATCTTGAAATGATTAAAAAACACAAAAACCGATTACAAGCTCCCCTCCCCAGATGACTTTGATTAGAAGAGAGCTGGAAAAGCCTTTCTGATTATGGGTACATTAAGACAATGAAGAAGAAAAGAAAAGAAAAAAACAGAAGAAAAGTATGCATCTTAAAAGGTTTGATGATTTGCAGCAAGCCAATGGGATTGCCTGTAGCCATTACACAATTAACAGCATTCTTTGTGTTGACTGAGTGCTCGCAATTTAGAGCAGTGAGGGCAAGAATGACACAGATACAGAAGCATTTCAGTGGAAGGGGATTCATTAGCAGTGAGTTGCTATTCTTTTCGACAATAATGAATCCTTACCACAGTCCTTCACCTGACACACTGCTTGTCCCCTGACTGGCCATAATATAAGTACGTAGCAATACTCTCGACCTAGAGCTTTGATTAGCGGTTGCTTTCTTGCCTTCACCACTAAGTATAAAAGAATTTGGAGACAATAACACTCCGAGAGATTGGTCTGTGTGGATAGAAAACTGGAATAAAACTAGGTGCTATACATGCAATAAAGCTTGTGAAAGTTGGAAGGACATTTTTTTTCATCCACTTATTTTTCTCAGCTGCTGTAGTAAATTTGTATGCTAATGCTATGGCAGAGCTAAATGCTAAATGACCAGAGTAATAAAAATACTCCTATAGTCAAGCTAATGAATGCCACCCTAACAAAAGAGAAGCCAATTTCAATATACCTGGAAAAATAAAGATTAAAGAAATAATAAAAATAAAGAAATAAGGAGAGACATGGTAATAAACCCCTGCTGTGTCCAACCACATGCAAAATACACCGAATACAGAACTCACTGTGGCAATGAGCTTATCAACGCAATCGGGTGCCACGCTGTGGAGATGTGTGAGGTGAAACTGCAGGTGGATCTTGTTGTTGAGCATGTCCTGGCACAACGGGCAACGTAACATGGGCTGGACAGAGTGCTGTGTCATCACGTGCATTCTGAGGCGATTCAGATCCGTGTTGGTAAACTTGCAGTACGGGCACTGGTACATCTGGGTGAAAGTAAAGACAGAACAGAGGAAGAGAGACGGGGAGGCGAGAGGAGAGGAAACACAGATCCACAAAGAGTTAATGGGGTGAAATGGGTGCACTGATCATGGTGGGCCTGCTTGAAGAGAAGCGGTGGATCAGGGATAGAGTGGGGGCCTCTTCCCTGAAGCAGGCAGATCCCTCTGATCACAGACAAGTGTGTAATACCAAGCACCGCTGAGTCCTGGCACCCACTTCAAAGTGCTCTCATCTGTCAAATACTATATTGATTTTCCACCTTATACACAATTAGCAGCGCAACTGCAGCAGGAAGCCTAATATAATTTTGAGTATATTTGAAAAGAAGATTTCTGCATAATATAAAAAAAGTCAGTGAGATAACCAACTGAAAATTATTAGTATATTTTTGTACTTTTTTTTAAAATGATGTGCAAGTTTTAGACTTTTAATGAGGGCTTGGTAATTAAGGATGATATAACCTTTAGCAAGAAACCTCTAATTCAAAGTCTGGAAAATAGTTTTATGAACATCTGAGGGCATCAATATTCACAAAATACTGTGGTGTGGAACTCTCACCTGCTCCGCAGCACCCTTCTCAGCTGTCCTGGGTCGTTTCGAGGAGAGTGGGCTTTCTGAGGCCTCTGACCGTGAAGAGGGCCTTTTGGAAGGAATTGGGGAACCTGACTGGTGCCGTTCCAAGTGGCCGGACAAAGCTGAAGAGAGACACATTCACAAAGACACACGCAAACAAGGAGAAGAGTTTTTAATTATAATATAAGTGCATTTAATGGTAAATGAGCAGAGGGGTTGTTGTTACAACAAAAATTATTCACATTTTGTCTTCCAAATCTGCTGCTGCTGCTGCTGCTGAGTGATAAATGTCTGCTTCACTGTTGGCTTGTAAGAATATTATACAACGCTGGAAAGTGCTAATAAAAATATTAGCTTTCTGCAGGTTGCAGATTTAGGTTTCATACCCCCACAATTTCAGTCCATATGAGGTTCAAAACCTGAGACAAGACATACAAAGTCTTTCTTCCACAGAGAGAAGGCTGATGATCCAAACCAGTATTAAACTACTCTAAACATTGACTCTTTCCGTGATTACCCTTCAGTCCACGAGAACTCGTGTGCAACATACATGCGACTGTCAAATTTGACGCAATGCAAAATATATATTACAGTATGATTTTTGTTATATGGCATTATTATTGCAATATTTGGATGGTGAAAAAACAAGTGCAACAAGAAAATAACATATCTTTTTTGGCTTAAACCAAACTTTTTGTTTAAACTGCATAGAGAGAGCTGAGGGGGAGTTTTAATTCAGGTACCTATCCATTAAGTCACAGTTTTGCCTCAAAAGAAAATGTATTTAAGGAGTGATCACACCGTTTTATGGAAGATTTCAATCAAGCAAAGCTGGGAAATCTTATCAGCTGTTTTGTTCCAATAAGATTTTTTGTATTTCTGCTACCAAATGTCTTCAGCGCATTGTAGGTTGCACGATTAGTCTGTGACAAAGAGGAAAATGGAGCAGCAACATGGGAAAACCTTTTCTTAAAGCATTGACAAAATCCTGACACTACGCCCAAAGTTCGGATGCACAAGATAACAAGCTCTCATTTAACAAAAAAGCTTTCAAAGATAAAAAAACAAACAAAGAAAAAACCCGCCGCTAGATACAATGACGGCATGAGACTGATGATTAGTCATACCTAAGTATGTTTACAAGATTAAACTACACTTTGGTGCTCACAAAATGTGCTACAGCCATTCTGAATTGGTTGGCAATTCTTCTTACTGCATTCTTTGGATTTACTTTGAATGTTGGTTCAAAGTTGGCTTGTTGGTTGTTTTGGAAATGCCTCTGAGCCAAACACAAAGACAGTAACAACAGACAGTAAATTGTTGTGAACTGCATTACCAAGTCTACAATGCATTTATCGGGACCGTGTTAGGAGCAAAGCAAACACTACTGCGAGTGGCGACAGGCATCCGCTTTCCTCCTCTTTTAAAGTGCTGCCATCTCCACGGTGCTATTGCCCTTTTTTCCCCCTCAACAAAAATAGGTCCAAACAGTCTGGCCAAAACATCCCTAAGGCGCAATGAAAATGTCTGTTTGTATTGTATGTTTTTATGTATTGTATGTTTTTGGATTGTTACGTGTTGGTGTATGGAAATGTCATGTGATTTCCACTGCAATCCTATCTATCCATATATAAACTTTGAATGCAAACAACGCTAATATCACCAAAATACAATTTCTGTACAGCAAGGCCTCACACAACATCGCCTGCAAACCAGTTTAGACTACTCCACTTCATGAAGGAAAGGAGAAACTGGTGGTGCACAGAGAGTCACGACTGTAGTTGAGCAGTTTAGCGTGGGCTCAGAGAGGAGCTAAATCCACATAGAGCCTGTATAGGGGGAGCTGCAGTGGCACCCCACTTTGTCACCAGTGGAAAGAATTCATGGTGAAAGTATTGGAGTTGTCTCGCTGAACCCCTAACAAGCCCATAAAGAGTTAAATTTGCCCTGATTTGTACAGTCCTGGAAGGGCAAATTGAGAACAGAGGGCATTGGTAGGGGAGGGTTGGTTTGGCAGGGGGTCAGGTTAAGCAGGGCTGACCACGCTCCTGCTCCAGACATTAAAATGTCAGCTCCAATCAGGATGAGGGCAGTTGAGCTGATTACCCAGTGGGGGACCTGGTTTTGGCCAGAGCAGGCTGCAAGATCTCCCAGAGACACCGGGATCAGCAAAGGAGACCCTATTAGGGTCCAGTCACAGTCAATCCTATTAAACACATCCGCCAATAAACAAAGGGAATGTTAAACAAAAGGAACCTCCCATTCCCTGACATTAACCTCTCAGTCATGGCACTGTCCTCACCAATTCATCCTCAACTCCACTTCAGTCCACTCCTACTTCCCCTGAACTCATGTCTCGAGGAGAAAAAATCTCCGGTCACCTTCACATTTCAATTGTCTATATCTTTGGCAAACCCACTGGCATTAAATTTTAAATAAGCATATAATTTTATTTTTTTTTAAACTGTCTTTTGTACTATTTTCAATTAAAATAAACATTTTTACACAGCACCCCAACATTTTAGGAAATGGCTTCATAATTTTATTTAACAGTAATACTTTTTCCTTAAGGACACACAGCTATCTATATTTCCTACAGCACTGCATGTCATATTTTATAAACACCATTTCTGCACCAATAGGTAGCTCCTTGGCATTCCACCATAATTTTCATACGTCAAGATAACTTTTCTCAAGGACAGATAATGAAACATATCAAAACAACTCTTACAATTTAGATAATAATGTAATTGAAATTCCCAGATAATTACCCAACTTCTTTAACTGAGGGAGAGTTATAAAGTGTGAAAAAAAAAGCTCTCACGCAAACATTAAGAACAGTTAACTTAGCAGCAAAGCACATAAATACAGTACAGCAAGTAAGCAGGGACAAAGTATCACGCATCCATCCCCCTCTTATCATTAAGAGGACAAACATAACTAAGTCAATTCCACTTTCACATTGCTTTCATTAATTTCTCAATTAGCACCGGAGAGGTGAAACAAGTGGCAGTTTGTGTTGAAAGCACAGCCGCTTTCTAGTTCAGGTGCTTTATGTTCCTGAGTGTGTAAAAGTGAGAGCAGGACAGATGGAGGGCAGGGGAGGCTTACTGTGATGCAGTCTCTCGTCACGGCCAGTTAGGACTCCATAAATCAATAGCATTCTCCTAAGACTAGTACACCCCAACACCTTCACCGGCACCGTGACTAACATCCAACTACTGTATCAGATTTTTTTCTCTTCAAGGGTGATGAAAAAAAAATGACCGAAACATTGACAAACTAGTATGAAATAGAGATAAAACTTTTTGTTTTTGGTCATGTACAGTCTGACATGTTAGATTGGACACTGTTGTCCGAAGCTCACACATGTGACACACATATCTGCAGTGTGAACAGGTGATCCGAACTAATGACCGAAACATTGCCTCCCGATGGAGCAGTTACAGTCCATGGTGAGATTTGTTACTGATGTCAGAAGGCGCTGGCAGTTGAAGGTAAAGTCTAGTGTTACTTTGTGGTATTAAAATAGTAGGTGTAAGAGCACAGAAAAAAACCCCAACTAAATTGCCATCTAGGATAATACTGCAGTCATTAGAAAAAGTCAGTCGTGGAGTTACATCTTCATTACTGGGCCCTTTATGTCTTATGGTGGAACTTCTAAAAGCTTTAAAAAGCTTTAAAAGCTCCTAAAACTACAGTGCGTTTATGCAACCTCAGCGTTCGTTCAGATCATCAGTGTCCATCCTGTTCACACAGAGAAAACTGGAGTGTCCACGTCTGCCAGTGACCCTTTAACTGCCCAGAGTCTGCCTGCCAACCTGACCTCTTCTGCCCAGTCTCTAGGCACAGTGCCCCCATCCGCAGCAAACGTCTTCTGACAGATACATAGAGTGGGCTTTTGTCTGAAAGCACAAAAGCCAGAGCAAGAGTGGAGAAAAAAACTAAGAGTCAATTAGGTGATTATTAATTCATGCCCCTTTTCCGTAAACCAGAGGCTTTTGTGCTGTCGAGTCCCGTAAGTGAATTGGACTTTGGCACCTTGTCTTTCCCCCATAGCTGGACTGTATTATTCAAGCAGCAAAGGGGCTGTCAGCACACTACACCAGTCTCAGGAGCAATCACAGCCTTGTTGTGCTTTCAAGGGGGGGGAAAAAAAAAGATGGCTGCCGGACAGAGTGACTGACACAGCACAGACTAAATTAACCACAACAGGTCATCTGCCATTGAATTCTTGCAGGAGTGCAATCACAGCTGCCATTAATCTTTGTCCTTGTGAAAGGTTATCCATATTCTAAAATGTGAGTTACAGTAAACCGTATGTAAGGATGTCGGAGACAGGAAAAATGTTTCTTGTGTTTAGGAGAGGAACTCTCCTCCTACAGAATGAGACGAGCTCCTCATCGTGTCCAGAGCCTCTCTCATTACCATAGCTTCTCTCTCACCATCAGTTTTAGGCAGCAGTTATAAAAAACATAGCCTATTATCCATTCTGCCCATGCCAACAAGGTCATATAACTTTACTGTCACTTTGCCCGGAACAGCCAGAGTCTGCCAATCATTTTAAACTTAAGCTCAGTCGACAATTTCCTCACTATAGTGAAACTCAATGATTCTTGCCGAACACCGTTTCTTCTGATCCCCAGCACCCAGAAACCTTTCACCTTCACAGTGCCGGGACCTTCATGCACCCGCAGCTCTCTGCTTCTTGCACAGAAAATCCTCACCTCTATTCCCTCAGCAAGTTGGCCATTAATATGGAGATGATTCAACTCCCCATGCTACAAGTCATTTTCTTTCACCGCTATGCAAACAATACCTGAATATTGTCTTTTCTCTTTCCCCATTTCTATCCTGGTTTTTTTAATCTACGGCCCCCGTCAGAGCACAGAGCAATAAAGGGCAGTGTTCCATCTCACCTTATATTTCCAAGATAATTATTCTGCATTAATAATAAAAAAAAAAGAGAGGGAGAGAGAGAGACAGGGACCTTCGACAAAAAACCTGACATTGGGGCTACACCTGGATTTATATATAAAACCATTCTTCATTTACAAAACAAAACAAAGTCCCTCTTATAACAAACTGTATAAGAAGGAGTGAGAATAGCATGCGTTGTGCAGTATAAATTGAGATGCTAATTAGCGGCGGCTCTTTTCATCTATAGACCACTGCACAACTGGATGACGAGTTGTTCACCTTTAAATGACACAGTACTGCTTGGCTATTAGACAGCCTGTGGTAAAACTCATAAACACTGAGCTTTCAGGGAGGTGGCTCACAAACAAGGACAATTTATGGCCTATTATCTTCAAAGACAAAAGGAATTATAATTTCAGGGATGACAAACACTGAAAGGATGTGCTATGAATATGTAAACATTTCCGCTGCTCTGTCTCCTGATTTCTCATGCTACTCAAGGTTTAAAAGCAATAACAAATCACCACCGCACTGAACGTCTCACAGTTTGGAGTAACAATAACATAAACGTGAGTAATTTGATTGCAACTAACCATAAGGCTGCAATTTCAACTTTCAACCGCAGCCAGCATTAAGTCTATGTGTTTCCAGTGTTATTTGGGAAACAATTCATAACGTTTAGCATGTCTGTTTGTGAGGCAGCAACAGCACAAGACTAACAGTATTATATGGAGCTCAATAAAAAGAACAGAAGAAAAAAAAAAGAGCAGACTGCAATGCCACAGTGCCGCGTCTAGGGGATGCTAATCATCTAGTTCATTATACAGATCAAATGCAGCAGCCTCGGTGCAGAACACAACATCTGCTTCCCTTACGCACAGCAGAGCTGAGTGCACACACACATGCTGCACATTTACATAAAAACAGGTGGATGCGGAGCCCAAAACGCACACAGATTCACGCACTTACAAATGCATATTACAGGAAACTCTAGCGGCTTAGTCTTTGTTTTGACAGATTTCACAGGTTTAATGTCAATGTTTAACTGAGAATGCTTGAGCAATTTTTTTTAACACATATGTGAGAAAACTGGCTGGAGAAGCATTAAGGATCAAGAAAAACTGACACAGGATTGGCACATGCTACAGAGGAAGCCACAAACTAATGTCTGAGTTGCTTTCTAGTCGAGTAAATAGGTTTTGGGGCATCATGAAGTGATAAAAATACCGTGACTATTTGTACAAATGTAGTGTAAAAACAGTTTGTGAAAGTTCAAATCGGTATGAACCTGTATGTAACCTTTAATTAATGCTCCAATAAACTGTGTCAAAATCACTCTCTGGGCTCTTTGTTAAGAGAAATAAAGAATTTAGAAGAATGTCTGCAAATACTTACAGATTCAAGATTTCATTCATCACTTGTTAAAAATGATGAAAAAGCATGAAAAGCATGAAAGTTTGAGGAAAACACACACACACACACACACACACACACACACACACACACACACATATATATATATATATATATATATGTAGCTGAAATAAATAGTTTTTTTTACCCCTTGCCTTCACCACCTTGTTCCGGCTCCTATAAACTTTTTTAAGTGCAGATATAAAGAATAAAATATTATCAAGCAGATTTTTTTTTCAAAGACTGTCCCAGAATTGACAGAATTATATATTTTTCTACCCCTCTCACCTTCCCTCAAACACACACAAACACACACACATACTTTGACACAGCCCTTCCCATACATTTATGTTAAATTTGTCAAACCACATTGTGCCCAAGTCTGCCGGTGTATTAACACCACACAATCCCCACCCTGCACCCACCTTCATGCTCTCTTCATCTTTCTGTCTCCCCTATACTTGCCACCCTCCCGCCCTGCTGCATTCCTATACATTCAGCTGCTGCATAAATACACCACCTGCTTTAATAAAGGTAAGGATTCCATTCCTATGCAAAAGCTCTTTCCTTTAGCTTGTGCTGTCTCAGCTTGGTGAAGAAAGTGTGGAGAGACAGAGAGGAAAGAGGCTCATGGCTATCCATTTATACATATTTCATACCTGGCATTAAAAATGACCCTCTGAATTACTAATCATGCCAGATGATTCAGTTGCAGCTGGCACCAATGTGAACATCATGTTGAAATATATATATATACATATTTCTTTTTAATGTACTAATTGGATTTACTTGTAAATGTGCATTATTTCTGTGCACGATCAACAGTCAGCTGTTTAATCATTAAAAGTTGCCCCATGTATGCAGAGTTTGCGAGCATATGGCATTTAAATATGTCTGAGTGCCTTCATGTGCACATATATGAATTATCTCTGCAATAAATAAATAAATAAAACACCAGAATAATGAAGGCATCTTTCAAGAGATGACATGCCGAATACATATGCATTTTACAAAGGCTTCTGATGTACCTCTAAATGATTTTAATGAATACTGAGGAGCTGTGGAACAAGAAAGAAAAAATAAGATTGACAGAGGCTTTAAAAAGGAGGAAGCCTTTTTTCTGTGCTCGCTAATGCCGTCTGTCTGACAGTGACTGTCATTTGTAAGGGAACAATGTTGTGCTCTGTTCCAACAGCTACATGACAACGATGAGAAGAAATACTTCAGTAGTTCTAATGATGGACTTTAGAAACAGCTCAGCTTCAGAGAGTGGGAGACTGAGCACCTTTCATATAAATAACAGGTTGGCCAAGATGCTCATACGCCGTATTTTAACATATACACCGCTTGCGTACGCGCTGCACAACATTTTCAGGCAATCACCAGCCCAAACAAGAGCTCCCGTGTTTACCAAATGGATTCTGAGGTCTTCCTTACGCCCCCTCCACCCCACAACAACAAGATAGGTTTGCACACGTTTTGAATGGGCATTGTATTCATCAATCACAAAAAGTTTGAAGCACAAAAAGAGACCCTTCCATTAAACTACAGCTGTCTACCTTTTGCTGACAACACAGCCTTGAACCCAGCATCCCAATCTACCCACCCACCTTTTCACTGACATCAAACAGAACCTCAGACCTGGTTCCCTAATGCAATGCTATTTTTAACTAAGCGTTTCTAATAAGCTGCTGGGAAGCTGTAAATTTTTCATATGCAAGCACATATTTCCTTTGTGAAAACACAGAAACACACTTATTTGGTGATTAGCGACTGACAGAGGGGAGGAAAGGAACTGAATATGCTTGTATCAAATTGCATGCCTTTCAAAAAGGAGGAATCCTAATGCGAGGAGTCGTCTTCCTGTGCACCACAGGTATGAGTGAATTATTAATCGGCCAGCTCATTTTAATGCTTTTTAAAGTGCTTTATTTTGATGTGCTAAAACATACTTTTAGCCATATTCAGTCAGGCATGCATATCATTATTTCTTCCATCAAAGAAGAGTGTCGCCCTTTCAAAGAGCACAAACAACTCAGCCTCATTTAAAATAGAAGTTCGAATATCAAAGACATTTTACAAAGCCTGGGCTTCAAACACTGTGATGAGTTTTTTTTCTTTTTTTCTTTTTTTTTTGCTGCACCTTATAAAAACTTAGGTATGCAAAAGGTCTGAATTGTTTTCCAGCTTTTAACCTGACTAGTGTAAATCAAAACATCCTGCAGTAACACAAGAAGTTAGACAAGTGAGAAGCATCTATCCAAGCCCGTTACTGCTCAGTGTCACGATTATGAGAAATCTCTCTACTCAATAGGAAATGTCTTGACTGCCAGCCTTGTTTTCCGAACACAGACAAGTGAAATAAACTGGGCATAAAAAAGAAAACTCGGGCCATTTTTTTTTCCTTCTCAGAAACCAGAGCAGAATCAGTAAACAGAGCTTTTCATATATAATTAGATCCAGTGATGCACATACAGAACGCGCTGTGGGGGGGTGTAGTTTTACATTAAGCTTCTTCGTCATTAAACTTGTGCTTGAGACAGTTTTTCGTTCATTTTCTTATTTCAACCAATCTAATTCCACACACGCTCCAAGTGTCATTAATTCAGCACCTATAGCAGTGCATTCAGTACAACTACAGTAACTTTCAGCAGTAAACTATTTCTTCCAGTTGCAGTGTAAAAAAAAAAAAAAAAAAAAAATCACAACCGCTACAAGAACATAAACTTCTTCTGTTATGAGTGCTATCATCTGTTATGGTCAATAATCTGTCAAAATAATATAGTGCTTCCCAGAAATCCCTCCAACTATCCCACAAGTTCTACATGATGGAAAGTTTAGGGTTCAATGCTGTTTTCACTATACGGCATGATCACTGGTGGTCCAACTAAATAAATTAGGTAAGTAAATAAAAGCACATGCATTATCGTGAACTGTATTTACATTAATAATGCCCTCTGATGTGAAAACATTTGTTATAGTAGAACATCCAATGCATCTTGAAACGTTTACAGCAGATAAATGCAACCTGCCCTGATCAGAGAGTGCTGAGGCCCAAAGCTCCTCCCCTCACACTAAACCCAACCCCCTGCTTAGGAGCCAGCACCTATCAATAAAGAGGACCAGAGATAAAACCATCCTGATCTGATAAGGGAAAACACAGGTAAGTGGTGTCAATGTTCTTCTGTGTGTACAGCAAATTTGAGAAGGGGGCAGTGCTATTCAAGTGTATGTGTGTGGCACACTGGGAATTACACATGCAGGCCCTGCTCTTCACATCACCCACTGATCAAAGACAAAACATGGGTCACATGTTACCTGAACTTATTACTTAAATTGACAGCTTATTCTAACTGTAGCTGATGAGATGCCTGGGAACATGCAGCATGAAAGAGCAGCCTTTGAAAACTAGATTAGGGAGTTTTGAGAGTATTTTCAATGCTTAGAAAGGCTTTGAAACCTTTGTTAAAATATGTTTAATTTAATTTGGCAAAAGGCATGTTGCTTAGCAATGTTCAGCTGCATGGCCATGTGAATCATGTGAGTAGTAGTCCCTAAATGTGTGTAAATATGAGCCTTACCTGTCCCTTTGGTGAGCTCCTTCTCCCCCCCACTTTCTCTGTCTTTGGTTTGGTCCTCCTGGTCTGTGGTGGTCTCACTAGCAGCCTCCACATCCTCGCTCAGCTCTCCTGAAGGGGGAGGGAGAACGGGATATGTAAATCACCACGCCATCAGAATTGGTGGAAGCACTTAAAGGGGCGGTAGCGTTTTTTTTCTATAGGAGCTTGCAACAATTACATTTGCTGACACACAGTTGCAAGGCTAGCAGACAAAGAGGGCAGAATCTGCTTTCTGTCCTGCGCTGTCTGATTATCTCTGTTAAAAAATAATTCCAACTTGAATAAAAAAAAATCTGAGCTGAATTATAAGGGGGGAGGAAAGTCGAATATCCACTCTTTCTTTTTATTGCTATTGTTGTGTGTATGTATTCAAAACAAAAGACACAAGGACAATTCTCTGTGTTTAATGTGTAGATAAAACTAAAAGCAAGCACATGGGTGCAAATGGCCAGATGGAAAAATAATTGAGCAGTACAGTTCAAGAAAAAGACCCCCATTTGCTTCCTCTCATAACGCGCACACGCGCACACAAACACGCGCGCGCTGCAATCTGTTAGGTTACTTACCAATACAAACCTCATTTCACTTCTGCTATCCCACTATAGCAAATAAAATAAATCATAAATATTTAAAACTTTCAGAGCCACAATTCATTTTATTTTTAAGCCAAGTCAAAGGCAGAAATCCCCTGTAACCACCTTAAAAGCCTCAGCTCGATATATCAGGCCATTTAGAGCATCGAAGTCCAAACAATGGATATCCAATAACGCCATTTGTAAGTAACACACAGAGGAAAAGATAGCAAAAACAGATAATAAAAAGGGCATCAATCTTGTTTATTTCCCTCCAGTGCCCCCTGAACATCCCCTTTGCCTGTTAAGTTTGTTTAAAAGTAGTGTGACTTGCATGGAATAGCATTGATTTGACAACAGTAAACTAGGCCGCAGTCAATAGGCCCTATCAGTTATTATACAAGTCAGCTAATTCTCAGCAAATGTACTTAAATGCTCTTTTGAAAATGCTTTCATGCATAGGTCTCTACTCTATGAGCTATTGATATATTGACAAAGCTACAACAGCTACTGAAATATCCTGTTCAAGTATTCAGCCCTGCAGTCATCACACATCTAATCTAAGCTCACCACATGAGTACCCACAGCCAAAACCATTTTTATGACAGTACATTTTCCCCAACACTCACTGTTTAGCCTGTTAGTTATGAAACAGAGCCTATGTTGTATACACAACAGGTACGTTTCTCAAACTCAAACTATGTATCATTATTACAGACACACTTAATAACCATACATCTCTAAACCATGCGGCTGTTCCTTTACTGATGACAATGACACATAAATAAAATAGATCTTAATTTATTCTGCTGAATGGGTTTTAAAATTCCTTATGCAAATCAGTCATATTTATAACTGGAAAATACATTAGAAAAAAATTATCGTTTTGTTATATGACTTTTTTCCTCTTTTTTTAGATAGTTGCTTAAGGAGCTTTTGCCACTTTTCTTCATCGCGTATTTATATTTATCGCCATTTTTTTTTTTACGGTTCTCTTAAGTATACACTATAGCTACAAAACCATAAGGGGGTGCTTATATCAACTGTGATATTTTATTATTCTAAGCACAAATGCACAGTTAAGAATAAGCTTTTATTTAATCATAATCAGCTGCAAAAAAAACCCTCAAAACAACAAAAAAAAAGTTGCATTACTGTGTTTCTTTTATGTTTCCAAGGGACTCTATGAATTCCTTCCGGTACTGGTGAGCTGGATCTTCAACATTCCCAAAAAACCCAGAGATCTGCTGCAGAGTCCCAAAATCCTATAACTCCTACCTGCATAAATCTCTACAACAGTCTGAGAATTAGGATACTGTACAGCTGCATAGGTGCTCAGATTACAAAATAATCCCCAGGTAAATTTTTTTCACCTTTAAAAACGGGGCAAGGTGTCATTTCTTAGCTATGTGACACTTGTAGTGAGACTAATTCCCCACCTACACATTAATACACACTTTGTGCTTAAACATTTCTCTGATAGGCAGCCAGCATTCTAATGCTAAGCTTCTCTGTAACCGCCCCACCTACTCCCAACTTCCTGCACACATGCTATACATGAGCACGCTGGTACAGATTTTTTTCCTTTTCCCCACTCATGTTTTTCACACTTTCTTTTTAGATGTTTAATGATCATATCACTTTTGGCACACAGAACACATTTATAATTTATGCAGAAATGCAGACATTTCATTCCAGGAGTACCGTTACATCTTTAAGTGGCAAATGGCTTTGCCCATTTCTCATCTCATCTACAACTAGTATTACAGAATGATTAAAGCTGGGGCCAGCTATAATTAATGAAAGGTCACGAGTGGCCTAAGAGTAGGATGCAAATGGTAGAGACACTAAAACTGTAGCCATAGATTAGCTCAGAAAATAGATTAGGAGAAACACTCAAAGCTATGGCAGCAGGCCATTTCTAACCCAAATCTGAGAGATGTAAAGGACAATAGCCTGAAGGTTGTCTTCTAATTAATTGTCTTCATTAACCATCCTAATACAATGATATGAAACAGTTCCATTAATCTAATCATGCAAGCTGAAAAAACCCATTGCCGACACAGAGATTACACTCATCTGTTCTGAGCATGAAAAATATCAGCTTTGCTCTCCCAGTCACTCAGTGGGGACAATTCATGGGCTCCCTCACAGACAGACAGACGCACGCACACACTCCTACATTGTGTAGGTGCTTAGCGGTCTTCCTCTCTTGTGTTTTGCCAGTGAGTGCAGAGGCTTAATCAGACCCATAGGTGTCACTCTATACAAGCTGGGCAAGAGCAACTTGCTCACACACACATTAATGAGGTGAGGGGAGGGTGGTGGTGGTGGGGGGATAGGGGCCGAGCAGCAACAGACAGAAACACATGGGGAAGGGGAAAGGGAAGAAATATGTGGAGATGACAAAAGCAGATGCTATGCAAAAGCTGTCTGGTGACGATGAGACACTGAAAATGGCAAGATTACCTTCAGATGAGAGAGAGCAGCCTTCCTTTTCCCCTGAAGAGCAGTGATTACACTAATGCTAATCAGACTGACAAGCACAAACGGCCTAATAAATAATTGATGGTAACCACTGCACTTTCCAGTATTTCTTCCCAGACTGTGGAGAAGAGCAGCAGCAAGTAATAATAGTCACTCTAGATATCTTTCACTGGGTCAGGCTCCTCCTCCATCCTCGGCCTCAGCAGAATATAATGCTGTGATGATAACTGCCTTTCTTAAAGTACAGAATTCCAGTCCTACCTGAGAACGGCTCCAGTGTTCCTCAAACAGCAGTGACAGTCTGCTCATTTTTAGTTGCATATATAGCATCTCAGTCACTCCACTGTCTTATTTATCTTGCTTGGGTTTCGTAAGTCATGGAGCACCAGCGCGGGGGCAGAGCTCAGCTTCTCCCTCTCCCCGGCTCTCGAGTACTGGGAGCGAGGGCTGAGCTGCGCTTCTCTCTGGGCTCTTGTGTGGAGCCGTGCGTCTAAGCTCTCATTACTCTCATTATGATTATTGAGGCTGTTGTTATCATTTTAACCAGGTGTCACAGGACTGCACTGTAAATCAGAGAGGTGTGCTTCCCCCGCTTTATCCAGAGCCGGACAGCTTCCTTTTCTTTAGCGCTGCACTGTCGGATAAAAAGCAATCTTATTTCACACTTCAGAGACTCTATCTTTCTCCCCTTCTCCTTCTTTTAAAAATCCCCCTCATGCTCCCCAGCATCCCTTGCACCCCTTCCTCATATCAAAGTTAGCCTGACTCTGGACTAGAGGGCGCAAAATGAAAGTGACAGGAGGGTACCATGGGACAATGAGACACAGGACTCATGCTGAGGGCTTTCATGCATTGTCCGCTCCTCATATCAGCACCTCTGTGCCCCATACGCAAGACACCACCCCCCCAAAAAAGCACAACACACAGGAAAACACTCCCACCCCTCGTAACTCCCCTCTCAACACATACTCACAGAAGCTCTGAAGCTACACCTCATAAAACCACAACTGAGCAAAACATGCCCACAACACTGTCAGACACAAGCGGGGCTTTTGCTCATGAACGACCAATAAACCACAACACGGTACTATCAGTAACCATAATGGCCTCTGCACTACAATACATAAGGCTTAATTAAAATGTGGACATATGCAATACTGGAAAAAAACAACTGCTTTTTAAGTGAGTTGCAAGATATTCTTACTGATTTCTGTGTTGTATTTCAGTTGTAATGAGTCATATAGACCTCAGTTATGAAATGCATTTAAAATTTAGCCATGCATTCAAAAAATAGATCAGTGTACCAAAATATACATTAATCCCCGAAAGAATCAATGTAGTAAAATCCAGAAACTACACCAAGCACTGCGCACAAAATGAAAGCTCATCTGTCCCTGTACTCTTCTCACTCATGCTCTTACTCCTCCTCTCCCACACACTTTCCTTTTCACATGGAAGCAAGAGTAAGCTAGCTCAGCGCTGCTGGTCAGAGTTACACGTTAGATTCCTGACCTGTCTATGGGGGGGGGACGACTCACTGGCCTCTCTCCCTGCTGGCCCTGCTGTGACCTCGGGATCTAAATGTGAATGAATACTTTGTGTCTCCAAAGGGCTGAGGGCAGGAAGAAGAAGGGCTGTGGTGGGGGGTAGCAGAAAGGAGGAGCGATGGAGGAGGGGTACATCGGTAGCTAACAACTAAAGAAACTTTAAACAGCAAGTTAATCACAAACAGGAGTGACAGTTCATACTGCCTTCCGGCTATATCACAGCAACCCCTCCTACATCCTTTCAGAACTTCCCTGGTACATGCTCATCAAAACAGCCCATAGGTCCTCCACGGAGCATTTTATCTGACCCACCCCCAAACCCCTGCGTTTCAAATTCCTGGGCCATTTTCAGGTAATCAGGTCATGGTTTTTCGAAAGTGTTTTCTAACAGAAAAAAAGAACAGAATAATGCACAAAAAGGCTCAAAATTTGCTTTTTGTGCTTTCAGTATGAAAGTAAATTA